ATTCTTGTTTTCTGAGGGATCCTTTGATGTTTTTGCTGGTTATATATCCCAAAAACTCCATCCTCTTATTCACCGACGTCTTAACCAAGGTACGACATGTGTTCAGAGCTAATGAAAAATTAATATAAAAATATAATCTATAATTTAATTATTACGCGTAATTGCCGTGTCCTGCTATTTTCCTATACCACCGTTTGGTGATATCTGCCGTCTTAAAATATGTTTTTATAATCTTTTTACATGTATTGATTTTATTCGATGTTTAATTATTTCCATTAAAATTTTTATATCTTTGTGATTCTAGCCCCATCAAACTCCGGATGTAACAACGAAGCTCTGTGCTTTCACCAGGGCGAGAAGCTGTGCCATTTTTCTCAAGAAGCACGCAATGCAGTGCGTCAAGCATTCGTGATTGCCTCAATTAAAGGGTGTGGAGCACGGCGGAAGACACCTTCCCTTAAAAACGAGGCAAGAGTCGGACGTGACTTTCGAGAGCAAGAGTTTCCCCAGGAATTGAAATTAGGGGGGGGGGGGTCTAAAGTTTTAGGAGGGGGGGAGGGGGTTAGAGGTGGCATTGAGAATAGAGGAGTTGTTTTGAATTAAGGGAGTGCCTTCGGAAGAACAAGGGGGGGGGAGGGTAGTACAGCCCCGTAGGGGGGTGTAAGGGAATCACTGTTCGAGAGCCAGCTGTTGCTCAAGGTCACACAAGTGAGACTGGTGGCAACAATAAACACTTCTATAAACCTCTTGTATTTTTTGTCTTACCATAGGACAGTAAGGTAAAAAGTAACACCGCTTAAGTAACGGATTACTTTTTGTAGTAACGGTCACGTAATTTTGTACAAGGGTAATTGTAACTGTACTTAGTTACAATTTAGCATGTTGTTATTGTAAATGTAATCCCTTACTCTTCTTTTAGTAACGTGTTCAAGTCTGGTCACACCTGTGTGTACGGGCACTTTTCGCTTTCGATATCCCACAGAAAGTTCACTCCGAGAATTGAAGTTTTGTCGATCGTCACCAGCTTATTTGAATGCAGTCGCGCACTTCCCTGGAAAGAACCACCCAACACAGGAAGCCATGGTGTCGTCTGCTGGCAAGGTAGTGAAACTTTATTATGAGCTTTTGTCATCGCTTTATGGTACTGAAACGGTAGAAAATGTCTTCAAGATTAGATTTCAAGGAGGCGCAATGCTTACAAGAAATTATTTACTTTTATATCAGACGATGTCTAACCTCACGTCGAGCCCCATACATTTGTCCATAGCAACGGCCCTAGAAACGGTTTGTTTTGAGCGGAGCGCCATGTTGTGACGTCATCACTTACGAAGTCAATTAACCATTTTCATTGGCAAACTTTTATGGAGGTAATGAAGACCCGAGGATGTCTCCCCCGCCCCAAGAGAAAATACTGCTCGTGTGATGCTATTGCTGTGAATTTAATAGGAAAACTCGCCATCCAGAACTGGCCAGTTTTCACTAAAGCCCACCAAACAATATGCCATCAAAATCACGCTTCTACAAAAAGCACTAAAGTGCCCCTTCAAATAGCCCTGCATTCGTGCCGCTCTTTTTAGAAAACACTACACATAAAAAAGAGCGCTTGAGGCTGAGATCATTTTCCTGTGAAGGCTGGTTCACGCACGTGCAACGGCTTCAGGCCCGTTTACACACTTGCGACTCCCTAGAACCGAGTGCCTTAGAACCTCTTAAAATCTCTTGCGAGAGAACACAATGGTACGCAGGGTTGGGCAGTGTCGCGTTACAAATGTATCGCGACAGTGTTTCAGAAATACATTTTTTATCTGTATTTCTGTATCGCGAATTATTTTGTTTCACCAGTATCTGTATTCCTGTATCGAAATACATTTGGATTGTTTCTTTGTATCGCGAAACAATCAAGGTGAAATGTATTTCGTTACATTTCTTGAAAATACACCTCCCCCCCCCCCCCCCCCCAAAAAAAAAAAAAAAAAAAAAACCTGAACTTTTTTTATTTTTTATTTCTGTGGGCAGTAGGGTTAAGGAGATGCTGGGGTATGGTTACTATGCTGACCAAAGCTCTTTCCGATTCTCCGAACTATTTTTCTATTCGTCCTCTTTTCTCTTCTGAGTAAGGTTGCGTCGGGGACTCGAACCAGGTGGCGTGCCACAAGTGGAGTCAGAGCATCTTTTGCCGCAGGTAATTAGGTAGGGATTTCTTGAGTCATTGTTTGCTGGCATCCAGTGCCCACTGCTAACCGTCTCTCTCCCCTTAGCAAACACAGCGACAGTACACCCAGCCGGCAAAGCTGAGTCACAGTCCGTTGCAGAACGAGCCTGGCGGGGGTTGACTTCAAATAGTAGGATGACTCAGCAGTGAAGTTCAACACATATTAGAATGCGTCTGCGGCTGCGCCCGTAATATTGCACGGCTCAAGGGTACGTCATCAGCCGACGTGAACGTTGACCCTCTGCTCTGGTGATCCAAAACTCAGGAAGGAGGCGAGACGTGGCATCGCTGTCCCGACCCAGACTTCGTACACCTGCGACTCGTCTCGAGCGCGCTATTTCTCGGAGAGCTCGCAACTGCGCCGGCAATATCAGGTTGCAATCCACGAGGCCTCTGTTTGGATGATGATAGGCGAAACTGGAGGACTGAAATTCATGCGTCGGTGACGGAGGGTCGGCAGGAAGGATCTTCACAACGGGGATGCCACCGGAACGTTTTTTCAACCATAAAAGAAGATAAGAAATGCGTTCCAGAATGCTTTAGGTGGTCCACTATTCTCGAAGATTCAAAATGCCACCGCCTGCACGATCTTCAACTTTCATACAGCAGCATAGTAAAGTTGCATGTTCAAGGCCACAACTACAGATCAAGAATACCAGTTCTTTTCACCGTCACGTCATGTGATTAATGTTGACAGTGACGTCCTTATTGGACAGGGGCGTGGTGATGTTTTGATGGGATTTGGGATGACGTAGAATTTATTTAGAGGTCGATGTCAGGGAAGAGACCGCGGTCAGTCCTTGGTGGAACGTTTTTTTGAGCCTATTGAAGACTCCTCGTCGTCTGAAACCACTACCTTCAAGGCAAAGTGCCAAGCCTACGGGAAAGTAATTCCCGGATCCCAAACTTCCACTTCTGACTTTAAACTTCATCTCATCTAGCGTCTCAAACATATATGAAAAATGTATTGCAGTATCAGTATTTGTGTACTTGTATTTCTGCCCTCCCTAAAATGTATTCCTGTTTTTGTATTTCCAAAGACTCTTTGCCTCTATTTAATATGTATTCCGATACGTATCGCGATACACCTTCACAGATATATTTCAGTATCAGTATTTTAGCTACTATTTTAATGTATCCCAGTATTTGTATTTCCAAATACATTTTTTAGTACTTCTGCCCAACCCTGGTGGTATACGCTGGCGCCATCCATGCGCTGACGCTAGAACTGCATTTCACTACAGCGAAGGTTTTGCGGTATTTGCGTGGTCAAATGTGCGTACTACCTGTGAGAAATGGTCGATTCTAACATTGCCAAAATATTTTTGAGCCACGAAAGAGGAAATATACGGGACGTTTGAGAATGATCTAAACGACCAATTCTCATAGATCGTAGGCACATTCGATCTCGCAAATACCGCAAAAACCTTCGCTCTAGTGAAATGCAGTTCCAGGGTCTCCTCACGGGTGGCACCAGCATGCCAGTGTGTCCTCTTGACAGCCTAGATTAAAGATGGGGTCCGTCTGAATCCACGGGGTGAGTTTCCGATTTAATGGCGTATGCCTCCGGCGGGGATCGGTCGCAAGTGTGCATGCGCTGCGTTGTCGCGTGGCGAGGAGGAAAACCGGCGGAAAGGCGGAGACGTTAGCAGACGATCAACCCTTTTGCCCTCGCCGCTCGTATTGCAAACGCGACCCGTAAACCACGTGACCTTGATCGAGCAGTAGGACTCTGTTCGTAACACAGGCTCGCTAGTGTTCTCTCGCCATAAGACATCGCAAGAACAGCTCCTACAGCCAAACTCAAGTGTAGCAACGGGCTGTAACGCGTTTTGTTAGATCTGACATCACTTCATCTTTGCCCCTCTCATTCGCTGACTCTGACTTTAGGTCTCAAGTTTCGGCTCCTATATTTACCGGCAATGTTTAATAGTATCGTCGTGTCAAAACACAGATAAGACATCTCCGCTTGTTTGTACGGCGGGCACGAACGGAAGGGCAGTACGATACATCTGAATCCAGCCGGTGCTGGCGTCACCCCACGGCTCCGCAAAGGCAATCCTCAACTGCAATAAAAATATTTAAAAAAAGCGGTCTTTACGAATATCGCAACAGAATTCCGAAAAGAGTTTGGCATAAGCTTAATGCTCTGAGAGGCTACTCTGCTGAGAAAAGAAGCACAGTAATAAGGAACATACATAGACATGCGCACAGCTACAATGGAAGCCTGCATGCCAATAAGACGCCTACGAATCATTTCTATCGAATGGGTTTAGCCAGTGAAGAGTGTGGTCGGTATTGTGCGTATGCGACGGTCATGTAAACATATACTTTCGCCGAGTTAGTTCGATTAGTCTATTTGATTGGTTAGTTGATCGATTAATCGATTTCGGTCAGAAGACACTTCCGTCAGGGCGCTGCTTTCTTTTTACAGTTTATGTGAGTTGGTGCCGTTTCGCCTTCCTAATGCCCGGTTCCCATTAGAGCGACGAACGGAAACCACCGACACCGACATGCCTCCATCACGTGCAGTATAAGCGCGCTTTCTAAAGCTTGGAATCACTCGTGCTTGCTTCACGAGCGCCGAAATACCGCAAGCCTACCAAAGGTACCATCGTGCGCACGCTGCACGTGTTGGGGGCTTGTGGGTGTCGGTGGTTTCTGTTTGTCGCTCTAGTGGGACTAGGGCATAACGCTGTCATTTTACCCAAGCCAGGGCTTGACAGTTTTTTTGGAAACAAAATATAGGAAAGGATCATAGAGAATGAGAATGGCGCTGACCGCATACCTTGGACGTTGACCCTTTCCATAGCTTCGACGTTCTTGAAAAAGTTGACGTCTATAAGGGACGCGCAGTGGATAACGCACTCCACTCCGGAGAACGCTTGCGCCACTGCCTCCGCGTCGCAGATAGTGCCTACGATCTCCCTCATTGGCTTGTCGGTGCGGTGTCCTGCGAATTTAGCATTACGTCAAAACACGACTTGCACGTGACGATATCTTGACGTTATTGTGGTCATTTCTACTTACCAGTACGAAGGAAAGCGAATTCGACAATGCGAAATGATCACAACAGAAGGTACGCGCTTAACAGCAAAGCCACAACAATGACCTCTGATATGACGTCAGTGCAAGCCATGTCTATGTTTTCATGAGTCTCACGGTGCATTTCTGGTGTCGTGTGGAGATTGGAGGACGAAATTTCACAGAGCTCCGTAGAAGATTGGATGGCTCCTGAAGACGCATATTGTTTTTATAAAATTTTGGGCAAGGTGCCGCACTTAATTCATTTCACCTTAGGTCCAAACGCAGCCGACGTACGAGCTGATGGTACCAATCAGACAGCGGCCACCATCATGGTTTTCGTCATGTTACGTGTTCCATTATCGCTGAACCAATCATAAGCAGAAAATGCCTAGTGACTTGCGCTTTTGACGGTGCTTGATTGGCACCATTACCTCGTAGCGTCGGCTACGCGTCATTGAGCGGCTTTCCGATAGGAGCTGATGATACGAAAAGGATCTCACCCAGATTGTTCTTGTAGGGCCTGGCGTCAAAGAGTCGGATTTCCCTGACCTTGGACTGGTCCTCCTGCAGGAGCCTCACGACGTGTTGGCCCAGGAAGCCACTGGAACCGGTCACGAGGACGACTGTAACTGGACGTCCTCCTGAAAGCGCATCGAATGTCGGATAGGCGGTCACACTTTTGCCACGTCACAGCTTTAAACCATCATCTATTGCCAATGAACGGATTTGAATGTACACATTATCTCTGGTGACGTTTTTGGTTAGATTTTTAAACAGACCCCTTCCTCTTTGTCAACAAAGGACAAGCCTTCGAAAGCGTTCTAACGACAAAAGAGTGTGATTTCACACCGCGGTGGTGGTGGCGCTTCGGGCGCACTTCCGGTCTGGGAGCGTTGGAAGAAGTCGTTATGTGGGACGGGCATTCCTTTGTTGCTTTGGAAGACACCAGAATAAAACCTTCCTTCTCGTCAAAAAGCTGCGACTGGGGTTATAACAAAAAAAAAAAAAAAAAAACGGGAAGTTTGTGAAGATCCGTTTTCATCTGTTTTCTACCTGATCGGTTCGTTCAAGAACGTAGATAGGTGTCGCAAAAAGGGAAGACCAAACACCGTCGAACTGCAATTTCTCGTGCGGGAAGCACTCTCGGTTGAATTCTCAGATACTTCTTGGTCGTCAGATTTACTTGTTTTGTTCCAACATGAACGTGGAAAAACCGTCAAGTTGTACGGAACACCTGCAGACTACGTTCAGTGCGTCTTCACGTTCAGACGACCGTCTGACCGTTCAAATTCTCGTCTGCTTGTTCAAACTGTCGTCTCCTCGTTCAAACAACAGCGACCCGTAGACCAAATGTTGACCCGGAAATTGTAATAAAAAGTGCGGGCCTCAAATCATTATTTATTTATTTATTTTTTTTAAGTTTGGAGGTTGGGTTAAGTAGGCTCGGTGTGAGCAGTAGATATAAGGAGATGTTGATCGTTTTTTACCATTGGCCATCACCGACGTGTTATGCGTGATTCACTTGGTTCAATCCTGCTTGCGATTTTCAGTATCGACATCGAGTATCGCAGCTACCGTCACCGCTTTTGAAGCTCGAGCGATGTCACTACTGAAAATAGCGAGCGGAATCTCATAATCAAAATTATGCTGTGGCGTCCATTCTAGAGCGTTCACACGCGAAATGAATCGCCGCACGTCGCATTACTTACACAAAGTTAAAAAAAAAAAAATAAAACACTTTATGAAAAAAAAAAAAAAAAAAAAAACTAGTTAGAGGTGAATTATGGCGTATTTGTATCCCGTGAATCTGAATATCAGTGATCGTTTTGTTCGAAGACGTAACTAAACAAAAAAAAAAAGAAAAAAAAAACATAAAAAACCTTTGACCATTCGTGACATCATACAAGGATTTTTGAGCCGCCAAGCGCGTGTCGGTCTTGTGGACAGCGCGTGCAATTGCATGGTTGTCAGGTGTATTCCCACGCACTGAAACCAGTCATGACGCCTACTTTTGACCATTTAAAACAAAATACTAAGAGTGTGGGTGCATAGCTTTGATAGGCGCTGTAGATGCGCGAATGCAGAGATTCCAAAAACTACTAGTGTGACGTCTTTTGGGCGGCAAAATTAAGTTGTTTGGAACTTCGCCCCGACCAAGCTATGTCAGAAATAAATATGGCGGCTGTCCATACCACACTCCAATACTCAGCTTTTGCCCGCTTCTATAGTCGTTTACAAGGCTGCAGGAAGGCGTTTTAAGCATCAGCAGCTGCCGCAGAAGAGAGGCTCTGCGCATGCCCAGAACCGTTCCACAGCCACGAAAATGGCAGAGCACAAAAGCCAATATACACGTTCAAAAAGAATGCCCTCTTACGATCGATGTGAAAATACTGCAAAGTGTCGTCTGGAACGGGTGTAATACTCACTTCATTTTTATGGTGTCTTTGGCGCACGCCACTTTACAGCCTTTTTGGATCGACCGTAAAAGCACGAAATTTTTTAAGGGGGTCTATAGACCAGTGTCTGCTCTGTTTCACGGGCACCCTCATGTGTGCTTATGCTTACGGCATGACAGAGTAAGGGGGCTGCGTTGTTTGCGAGAGTTCATTTTTTTAGAAACCTTCGCACATTTCGTAATGCAAGAAAGTCAGAAATGCAGTCACGAAGCCCCAACAAATCCACCGAATGCATAAAGTGCTGTAAAAAGCAAAAATATTGTTCTATGCAGGTGTTCAAAAAGGCGTCTTTGGCAGATCGGAACGCAAGGCGGAGGAGCACACCAACCCATAGAGAGCGCACAGGGAACGCACGATGACGAGGCAGCCAACGCGCGCCGTCATTGATCGAGGTCGGGTCGGGGCAACACCACCCATTCCAGAATACTGAAGGCCTCCGGACTCCCCTCTCTTCCTGTATGGAGCGTCATAACATTCGGATGGTGACAGCTCAGCAATTGAGCCCGAGCCCGAGCCCGAGCCCGAGCCCGAGCCCGAGCCCGAGCCCGAGCCCGAGCGTCCGTCGAGGCGTTAATTGGCCATGCAGCCCAGCCGAGCAGTGACGGAGCACTCGTATCCAATCGGTGTCTTCGCTCGATCTCACGGTGATGACGTCAAAATTCTTGCGCACAATGCTAGCGATCAGTCTCTAGGTGGTGTTGGTCGAGTTCGGATGGGGGCATCTGGCTGGTAAACAAAGGCACGAGGTGCGCGAAGAGCAGGCGAAATTGTCCGCCTTATAGTCCGCAGCAGGACACACGAAAGGCTTACCCAAAGGAAGGCACTCCGCCGCTCCTCCGGTCATTGTACCGCGCGCTCACGATCCCGCTTTGAGTAGAGACTGCGCGCCTCCGACGAGGCAGTAAACGCCGCTTCGACACCGATAAGCGCGACGGTACTTTGAGGCGTCGCGCGAGGTCGACCGGTTTTTATCGGCGAGTCGTCCCCGTCAACAGCGAGGGCAAGCTCCTTCGAACTATTAAAAGCCCCGATCACGCCCAGACCACGTTTCAATGTAGACTTTCCTTTCGGCTCAAGGGCGCACGCACCTTCCGCGCTTTCCAGGTGGGTGCTCTACGACGTACGTGGGACAGTCGTCGAGTCGGGTCATTGCGGGCGCTGGCCGCTTCGACCACGGTTCCGCTACCTTTCCATCTTTACAAACACGGGCAGTCCCTTTCTTGCCTTAGAAGAGACTTCCGGTCGTTTTTAGGGAGGCCTTCAGAGCTTGATCACGTCATGGTTTTTATGACGATTTAGCGCTGCAGGAATCCCAAAGTTGAAGATTCAGCGAGGTCCTTACGCTGTGCGGGGAACCGGTAACCGAGTGTGTTAGCGCACCACGGATCCGACCACGTGGAGCGAAACCTCGCGCTGCAGAACCCAGGGGTCCTGTGTTCGATCCCCACCCCTGCCCGCTTCGATCCAGATGAGCGTCGTACCGGCGTGTAGTCGTGTATCACCAATGCGTGGTACACGTTAAAGACCCCAGTGGCACTGCACTGGCTAAACGTCTCATCTACAGCTGAGACACCAGATGCCCGTGACGGCCAACTAACTTTCGGCTGTCTAAACATACACATAAAACAATTACGATTAACTCCCTGCGGCGCTTTTACGGAAAGGGTAGCTATTTTCGGGACCTCCATATATGCCACTTTATAGACCAACGAGCGATTTCCAAACAACGTTTGCTCACACCAAGAATATTCACTGCCCGTGCGCACAAATTACATTCGCGTGAATAGAAGCGTCGAGCCGACAGTAGCGCCACCACGGCGGCGTGACGTCGGAGGCCGGGTGGATAGCAGCGGACGAGCCATTCCAAGCCAATCCGACGCTGGGAACGCATCACATGGCTGCGCGTTCCGTGTGTGGTTGCGTCCGTTCCTTCCAATGTTTCTAGAACACTCAGTTGGGAAACTCACCATTGAGACTTGGGCAGCTGGCGTCCACCGAGACCGAGCTGAATACAACAACAGCGCCACTCTTAGTCTTTTGTCTTTACTGCGTTCACCTTGAGCTTTTAGAAAGCATGTTGTTGCGTAAAAACCAAAAGAAAAAAAAAACTATTTTTGTAGTAACTTTTATTAGAGTTTTATACAAAATAAGGGGCGCGTGATGTTTTCTAATATCTTTCGTTTGCAAGGTTTTGCGGCACAATTAATATTGTTTTTATAAAATCCTGTCTCAGCGGTGATTTCAGGCAGCGCGTCCCGACCTATATTTCGTTTCAGCTTCGGTCCGAGCGCGGCCGATGTTATAAGCCGAAAGGCCAATCAAACAGCGAAAGAAGCACAACGTCATGGCGTATACTCTGTAATTGATAGGACTAGCCGGTATTCGCAGGCTCTCTTTGCATGATCCTCCGCCGGCTAGTCCTATTAAGCACAGAGAGCACGCCATGACGTTGCGCTTTTCGCACTGTTTGATTGGCCCTTCGTCTGATAACATCATCCGCGCTCGGACCTCAGGTGAAACGGAGTATAGGCGCATCCAAATTTCGGAAGTAATTTGCGCGCGTCCGCTTAGGAGACGGGGTGGCACCCCTCAAACCCCTTCTCCCATATGTTCCGTCAAAATAGACGATTAAAGCCAAAATCGAAGTCGCGTGCAGTTCCTCGAGTGACCGCTGGGGGAGAAATGGTGGCGTTGCGATCGCCATTAGCTTAATGCCCCTTCATGCTTTAAAAGTAGCGCAAGATGCGTCGATGCACGAGGCACGTGCGACGTACAGCCCTTTGGAAAGATCTAGAGCCACTGAATAAGCGTAGCTTATTTAGTGGCTCTAGGAAGATCATGGCGGCACAGCGCAGCACAGTGCTATACTCTGTTTCACTTTATGATGTACCGCAGGAAAGGCTACAAAAAGAACTTGTTGTTGGGCTAGTTGGTGTTGACTGAATTGGACCATGGTTAAAAGCGCTAAAAAAGACGTACACAAGAAAGAAGACAAACACGGGCGCTACTCACAACTGTATTGGGAAAGGAAGATGGAACTACATATATATATATATATATATATATATATATATATATATATATATATATATATATATATATATATATATATATATATATATATATATATGAACGAATATGTGCAGATGAATGAACCGTACTTAATCCAATGAATTAAAGAATCCAAGTTTTCAGGAACCCGCCGAAAGCCAAAAATTGGCGGAGCCAGGATTTGAACTCTGGGCCTCCCAATGTCCGGTCGGGTGTGCTAACCACTACACACACCGACCGGACATTGGGAGGCCCAGAGTTCAAATCCTGGCTCAGCCAATTTTCGGCTTTCGGCGGGTTCCTGAAAACTTGGATTCTTTAATTCATTGGATTAAGTACGGTTCATTCATCTGCACATATTCGTTCATATCCTCCTCGGAGACCACGTACGATGACGTGAAGTGCCCGTGTTGTATATATATATATATATATATATCTGATACACTTATCGTCACCCATGCTACTCATGCGCGAGATACAAGAGCATAAAACCGTTTACATGTATTTATCGAAAAAACGAATCTCAGCGTTATACAATGCTATTGACGTGTCGCTGACGCACTGGGGTCCCCTCTTCTTGATAGAATATGCCTCTTGCAGTTCGCGTGCCCTTTGAATTCTGCTTCTACCGAGAATCTTGGTATCACCGAAGCGTGGCTCGCATTTGCAGACCTACTACAGTGCGCGGGCAAATGTGTCCCGCACTGTAGGCTACAAGCGCGAGCTCCTTGCTCTGGGGCACATCTCGGCGGCACAAGCTCTCGTGACTTAAGGGCAGCTGCCAACGCTATGAGCTCGCGCTTCTAGCCTTCGCTGCGGTACAACATAAGTTCGGCGGGTGGGAGGGGCTTACGGCCCGCTAGATCTAGCGGACTCAGCGGGCGCCGCTTCCGCCATGATGTGCCTCCCGGCGAGTGGGTCCCCATTGACATGCGATGTATACGCGTGTAGGTTTTGCCGTTTGCGCTTTTGTTGGCGTAAGGAGAAAGTCGAAAAATCACGCATTTTGTTACGTTAATCATACGTTAATCCTAAACTTACCTCGCACAATCGAGAACTCGGCTTCCAGTCAGCCCTTCTTGGTTTGGTTTCCCAGATCTTGTGCCTTGCGCGGTTTTCTTTTCCTTGCGGGAACCGGTACATCCTGAACCCCTTTTTCGCGTTGTTCGAGCACCCAACGGCACTGCAGCCCCCCATTTCTTTTTCATCTAACGTCTGGCAGAGCGCAGCGCAGAACGATCATTTTCATCGTCGTCTCTCGCTCCATGGACTCTAGCGAGCCGACTGCCGGCTCGAGTCAGTAGGGCAAACGGGTTTTATCAGCCGCCACCAGCCTCACACCAAACAAGGGTGACCCTACCGAAAAATCCGGTATAACTTTTCGCTATCCGGATTATGGAACCGGAAATCTATCTGGAATCTATTCGGATTCTATCTGGAATTTAGTTTTTCAGAGATTATTCCTTTGTCAGCAATTTGAATTTTGGGTTTCCAGAAACAAATTTCCGGTTCCATAATCCGGATAGTGAAAAGTTATACCGGACTTTTCGGTAGGGTCGAAACTTGCAATTTAAGGTTAAAATTATAATGCAATTAAATGCAAAGGTGCAATCAAGCTAGACGGCAAGGCACATCATGGCGGATGCGCACAGTTGCCAGACTGTTTGATCAGTGCTGCCAGACTGGCGGCTGGATCAAAGAACCGCCGAACTCCCCCAGTATAAAAGGCTCTGGGTGAAACGAAGTATAGATTTCAGACGCCATGTTCTTCCCAAAAGTGGCGCGCGGCACGTGTCTCGAGCATTTCCATGGCAATAAAAGGCGTCACTTTTCCCAGGAGGGGCTTTACATTAGCTCGGTTCTCGAGTACGGATCGGTGCCACTTTTTCAGAGCAAGCTCTGTGGCAGTTTCCCAACTGAGCGGTTCTATAGACGATTGCAAGCTGGGCGACTGGCCGCCGCCATGTCTCTGCTCGAGCAGGCACGCCCGTGCGATTACGAGCTTGCCAAAGCTACGTTCACCTGCGCGTTGCACGCGCTTGCACGCATGGGGCACCACTTGTGGCGCCATGCTTGCAATTGTCTATACTCCGTTTCACCTGATGTTGTACCGCAGTGAAGGCTTGAAGCGCGAGCTCATAGCGTCGGCAGTTGCCCTTGGTGCACGAGAGCTTGTGCCGCCGAGATGCGCCCTAGAACAAGGAGCTCGCGCTTGTAGCCTTTCCTGCGGTACAACACAAGGTGAAACAGAGTATAGTAATGTTGCTTCCTTCTGAGTACTTCTATGGTGCCTCGATCGCGTCTTCGACTGGTGTGTTTAGCGCCCTATCCCGCCCATACATCAAAAGTGGTCCCAATGTGGCAACAAATGACGCGAGTGTCATGCTGTTGCCTGTCGTGATCCTGGCGGTTGGCCGTAGAAATGCTGGCGAAAAGCACGAGCGAACGCGAGTGTCGCTTTCGTCACGGCGTACCTTTAGGCGTCCCAACTTCCGGCTGCTCCAGCTTCCGTGAACTGTCACAGTGGAAAGCGACCTGCAGCAGAACAGGCGTCTGCCACTTTTACCACAACTGTTGGGGCGCCGCCAGGGTCGCGACCGGCGACAGAATGACATTTTTATGACGTCATCAGGCGGAAATCGAGGGACCACTTTTTTGGCCGCGGTAAACACACCAGTCGGAGACGCGTTCCAGGCACCATAGTACTTCTGAGTATCCCGTGACACTCACACGGCGTTGGACTGGCTTGGACTGGCTCGTAGTAGGCGCTGCGGTTCCTTTGAGCTGACGGGCTTCTGGTCTGTAGGATTGGTTGTTCGCGCAGGTCTCCGCCCACGGGCAGCGAGTTGTCCCGGTGGTACGGCGTTGTTTGCTACGACGACAGCCGCCTTGTGG